CCCCATAGCCAGGGCATGTATGACAGCTGATCAATGTTGAAGCTAACCCAACATCTGTTACTGCTTCTGCTTCACCTCACACGTGTCGAGCATTCAGATGACGGAAGTTTCACAATTTTAAACACACTGAAAAAATTAAAGACATGTCTGTGTCCTTTCAGAAGATATATGTGTGTATATTTGTTCAAGCATTAATGTGTGTGCACGTTCAGCTATTGTCGTGTATATGAGAAGCTGTGCATCAGATATCAGGTCTGTACCGAGAAACTGCTCTCAGAGGTCAGACATTTAAATGTTTTAGGGCATTTATACTTATGTATTTTTAATATGGTGCGCCAAATCACAACAACAGTTACCTCAAGGCACTTTATATTGTAAGGTAGGCAAAGACCCGTCAATAATGCTGAGAAACAGTTTTACTGTGTTAGTAGTATTGTCCCTAGTAGGCCTCTAATCCATTATTCGAGTCCTCTTCTGGCCTCTGATAATGGATTAAAATTCATTATTAGATAAATAATGGAATTTTAAAATTACTCTCAAATATGCTGTTAAACTGCAACACCTGTACACTTGTGGCTTTCATTTGTTTTCCTTTGTGTCTGTGTGTGTGTGTTTCACAGGGCCATGTAGATGAGACGCACATATTAAAATACCTTAAGGTATAATAGCCCCCATTGTAAGACATTGTAAAAGTGGGTGACCTTCTCCGAGCTCTCCCAGAAGCGAGTTACCATGATCCCCCTGCACTTTGTGATGCCCATGACTATCTCGAGTAAGTAGCACTGGGACAATAGTGCGAACACCGAGGAACACAAGCTGGACTGTTGAGCACGATTGCACCACCTTCCAGAATTATATGGAGCATCCTGGTAGTTCCAACCTTCATTCTTTGATGACCTAGACAATATATAGCATTCTATCATCTGTACAAGCTATCAGAACGATGATTCCTTTAAGTTTTTTTATCAGCGAGAAGTGTGTGTATCTCTAAACATAATTCTAGAGTGATATCTTCCTACGCTTCCGTCATCTGAATGTCTCGTGCTACTCCTGTGTGAAGGGTAGAAGCAGAAGCAGAGTGACGGCCTGGGGTGTGCTGGGTTTTTTGCAGTAACAGCCCAAATGTCGTAGGTCGTTAGCTGTCAACAGTGTTGCAGCTCAGCTGGGTTCATACCCATTCTGCCTCTAGCCGTACTGGGTTATTAGAGTCAATGGGCGGGAGCAGCAGCTTGTATATGTCAAGAAGTGACGTGAGAAGAACAGAGCTTTATCGAGCACAGAATTCACAAATAACTCGAAACAAATCAGCATCTGATCATTTTAGTTGACTGGATCCGTCTTTGTTATCAAGAAAAACATTTAAAAAAAGAGATGGAATACATTTTTCTGGATACCAAACTGGACTTGAAAGCATTTGTTTATCACCAACACTGCAGTCGATCTAAAACACATCTTCGACAGAGAAAAGCAGTTTGAAACAACAGAGGAGAGATCAGTGTTTTATATTTCATAAACCATAAACTTGATTTCCTCGTTATGCTTCATGACAATCCAACGACTCCCCTCAAAGCACCGTCAAAGAAGCCCGGTCTTCATCGACTCTACAGCCGGACAGCTGGACTGTGCCCCATCAACACTCTGTGGCTCTTTAATGTTGTGGTGCCCAGTGTGTGGAGTGATTGTACAGCAATGTTGAAAATGGTTAGTAAGTTAATGAGGATATGGATTAATAGGTAATCATTTATCCGTTTCCCTAATTCTTCATTACAAATATTTATTAGAATACAGTCCTGATCAAAAGTTTGAGACCACTTGAAAAAAGGCAAAAAAATCACATTTTGCATGTTTGGATCTTAACAAGGTTCCACGTAGAGCTTCAACATGCAACAAGAAGAAACGAGAGTGAGACAAAACATTTTGCTGAGCGTGCAGTTTACTGAAAACAGCGCTTAAAGTGAGACAGGCTGTTTTACAGCTGATCAAAGGTTTAGGACCACGTGCCTTTAAAAGGCCAAATCTGTGCAGAAGTGTGGATTCATTCTCATTTTCTGTCACACTGTCAGGATGTTCTGATGGCAAAGGCAAAAAGACGTTCGTGTTTTGAACGTAGTCGGGTTGTTGAACTGCATAAGCAGAGCGCCATCACTGCTGAGGTCGGACACAGATAGTTGGAATTTCTTAAATGATCCTGAGGGTTATGGAAGAAAAAAGTCAAATGGAAGACCCCAAGAAACGTCACCAGCACTGAGCCGGAGGATCCAGTTGGCTGTCCATCAAAACACTGGACGATCCTGGACCCAAATTAAGGGCGTTACTGGTGCCGACTGCAGCCCGTAACCATCAGACGCCACAGCGACTGTTTGGACTTTGCAAGAGAGCACCAAGCATGGGACATTGAAAGGTGGAAGAATTCTCTGATGAGAACAAAAATGTAACCTTGATGGTCCTGATGGTTTCCAACGTTACCAGCATGACAAGCAGATCCTGCCTGAGATGTTTTCTACGCGCCACAGTGGAGGGGGCGCCATAATGGTCTGGGGTGCTTTTTCCTTCAGTGGAACAACGGAGCTTCAGGAGGTGCAGGGGCGTCAAACAGCTGCTGGCTCTGTCCAGATGTTGCAGAGAGCGTCCTCATTACTGAGTGGGGTGGTAACGGGTGGTTTGAACAGGACAGCGCTACAGTACACAACGCCATGAAGGACAAGGGACCTCTTCCAGGAGAATAACATCACTCTTTTGGACCGTCCTGCATGTGCTCTGATCTAAGTCCAGTTGAGAGCCTTTGGGGATGGATAATAAGGGAAGTTTCCAAAAATGGACGACAGTCCCAGACAGTAGATCGCTTCGTGCGGCCGTCTTCACCACTCGGAGAAACGTTCCTGAGTTCATGTTTGGAACTCTGATTTGTGTTTTGGGGGGTTTACAGGTATTTTTGTGGGTGTGGTCTTAAACTAAACTGTAAAACAGCCTGTTTCAGTTTAATGTTGTTTTTAATAAACTACATGCTCACCAAAGTGTTGTCTCACTCCCATTTCTTCTTGTTGCATGTTGAAGCTCGACTTGGGAACTTGTTTAGATCCAACTGTGCAAAATATGTTTGTTTTTTTTAACCATTTTTCAAGTGATCTTAAACCTTTGATCGGGACTGCATCAGTATGGATACACTTCTTTATTAATCATACGACAAACCCGCAGAAATATAAAGGCACAAACAACACATAACGAAACTTTTGCTACAAACTAAAAGAAAGAATTGATCTGTGGCTTCCTGTACAGCAAAAGAAGAAGAAAAGATGGAGAATTTAGCCGTGAGCATTCCAGTCTGTTCTTTTCTCTGACTCTCCACCTGTCTCCTCCTCCACCCCCTGTAACACCGACAGGTGGATGGTCCTTGACCTGCTGACCAGGGAGGTCGTTTCTGAATCCACTGACGGGAATGAGCAGCTGTCTGTCATGAGATATTCACCAGGTCAGTCAGTAACTCCTCCTCCTATATTAACTGTAGATGTGACAGATTAGGGTGGTGCTCACATCCAACCATGTGGTCATGGATTTGGCATTAATGACCTTCTTCACACAAAAAACATGCAGCAAACTTTGAGTTAAAGCTTAAAACTGTTGTTCACAGGGTGGGATGTAGCAAAGTTTCAGAGTGGGGATCCTCTTTGACTCTGTGAGTCTGTTTTTCAGATGGCAGCTTCCTAGCTGTAGGATCACATGACAACTTCATCTACATCTACAGTGTGACAGAGAGTGGCAGGCGTTACACCCGCTTTGGAAAATGTAACGTGAGTTAAACTTTAAATTATTTTATTTCACTTGGGTTTTTTCTTCTTGGTTAACAGCGCAGCACATCTCCATCCAATATGAGCCTGCTGTGGTGCTGTAGTTTCCTTCTTGTCAATAAATCTTGTGTGCAGAGTTCCATTGTCGTCCACATATTATTACACATCACACTGGTCCGTAGAATGACCGTTACCTTTGTTAACTCTCAAGCATTAATCTTGCTGCTGAGGGTTGGTGCAGTGATGTACTTCTCCGGTCAGAACAGCTAACTTCCTGTTAGCTAACCTACCCCTGAATGTGATCCTGTTCAGGTTCTTTTATTGATGCCCTCGGCTAGTTTTGTTGTGCAGTTAAATGAGCAGGCAACCATTTCAACAGACACTGGAAAATATTCCCAGAGAGAAGAGCGAGTGCTCACTAAAACTGCAAGTTCAAGCCCTCAGATTAAAAACACTCCACGGACAAAAAAGCTAAAAACGCTCTAATAAATACTCAGATTCACATTACAAATAAATAAATGGAACAGATATGTGCAGACTTCGTTGTCACTTAATCAGATGACTAATAGCTACTGAGACTGTAATCCTTCATTCAGAGGAGTATAAAGTGATGTCTAAGATGAAGCTGGTCATTCTCTGTCTGCTACACAGCTACACAGAATGTTTGGGCGATGGTGAGGAGGAAGCGTAGCCCTAAGAAGCATCCAGGACACTACAAACCTGTCCATGTCTCTAATGGTTTTTCCCCACTCGGCCATACACCCACCGAGAAACAGAGTCTGGTTATCAGCGATTCATTTATAAGACATGTGAAGCTAAAGGCACCGGCCCCTGTAGTGAAACTGCTGGCTGAAAGGGCAAATCCCATAAAATTATAGTTCATGTCGGCAGTAAAGGTCCCCGGTTACATCAGTCAGAGGTCACTAACATTAATATTAAATGGGTGTGTAACTTTGCCAAAGCAATGTCGGACGCTGTCGTTTTCTCTGGTCCCCTCCCCAATCAGACCAGGAGTGACGTGTTTAGCCACATGTTCTCCTTAAATTAGTGGCTGTCCAAAAAACCACGTGGGCTTTATAGATAATTGGGAAGCTTTCCAGGAAAACCTGGTCTTGTTAGGAGAGACATGTCCACTTTGGATGGAGCAGCTCTCATTTCTAGAAATCTGGACAAATTTATTAAACCCCCCAAAATGTGACTATGCAGAGATGGGACCAGGAAGCAGAGTCGCAGTCTTACACGCCTCTTGTAAGTGGTTTGTATCATATCTATCTAATAGACTCCAGTTTGTGCATGTAAATGGAGAGTCCTCTTCACACACTGAGGTTAATTATGGAGTTCCACAGGGTTCAGTGCTAGGACCAATTCTGTTTACATTATACATGCTTCCCTTAGGCAGCATCATTAGAAGACATAGCATACATTTACACTGCTATGCTGATGACACCCAGCTCTATCTGTCCATGAAGCCAGATAACACACACCAATGAGTTAAACTGCAGGAATGTCTTAAAGACATAAAGACCTGGATGGCCGCTAACTTTCTGCTTCTTAATTCAGATCAAACTGAGGTTATTGTACTCGGCCCTGAAAATCTTAGAAGTATGCTATCTGACATCTTTAAGAATAGTTCATGTATTTGTTACTTTTAGGCTGGACTATTGTAATTTGTTATTATTATACTCATGCTAGCCATTAGAAAGAATGCCGTTTAAATGCAGTTGAACATTAACTTCACTTTTAATGACCTGGAAATCTTTCATATGCAATGTGTGGTATGGAGCTTGCAAACACGGAGATTAATTATTGTGGAGTTTTCTGATGGTGAAGGAAATGCACAATAAAAGCTTGCTTTCTTTAGCTAATGTGAGACACTCTGTCTGCTTATCTGTTGGATCAGGGCCACTCCAGCTTCATCACTCACCTGGACTGGTCCAAAGATGGGAAGTACATCATGTCAAATTCAGGCGACTATGAGATCCTTTACTGTAAGTGAACATCCAGCACTGTGCTTTCAGTGCTGCTATAGGAATGCCATGCAGTACGTTCTTCAGCTTAGTGACTCTGTGTTTTAACAGGGGACATAGCAGCAGGATGTAAGCTGCTTAGGAACCGCTTTGAGAGCAAAGACAGAGAATGGGCCTCTTATACCTGTGTGCTAGGCTTCCATGTGATGGGTGAGAAACTCCAAAATGCTGTTATCCTCCTTTAGTATTGCATTAACTTCATGGGGTTCTTTTATGCAATCAGACTGATGAGTGTGGTACTGTGGTGTTCAGGTGTGTGGCTGGAAGGCTCTGACGGCACAGACATCAACGCGCTGTGTCGCTCTCACAACGAGAAGATGGTGGCTGTGGCTGATGATTTCTGTAAGGTTCATCTGTTCCAGTACCCCTGTCCTAAACTCAAGGTAACTATTTTCTTATTTAAATAAGAATCAAATGGTAAAAGTCAGCCAGCTTTAAGAGTCACTAGAGTTGTGGGACATTCAGATTCAGCATTAACAGTAGGAACCTTGTAGAAAGGTGTTTATCCTACTCTGGAAAGACAATGAGGGGGGAGGAGGAGGAAGTGGGATATGATGGGCCTTCCTCTGCTCTGATCCGAAGTGGACCTGCTTCTTTTCTCTTCAGGCACCGAGCCACAAGTACGAGGGCCACGGCAGCCACGTCACCAACGTCTGCTTCACTCACAGTGACTCTCACCTGCTCTCCATTGGCGGGAAGGACACTTGCATCCTTCAGTGGAAGGTGATTGGAGGGGGGGTGGGTAACAGCCGTGAAAGACTGGCCTCGGCCTCATCCACCTCTACCAGCTCTCCAGAACCTGCGACCAGCTAAGGAGACGGCTGCTTGTAAGAGTGAGGGAAAGCGGGCTGTTTTCTTACAGCCGCAGAGGCATCGAAGTGAGTTATGGGCTCGTTCTGTCCTCTGGACTGACACTGCTGCTAGTTTCAGGCAGAACATCCTCTTCGGGAGGAACATCCATGTTAATGTTATGCTTCAAATCCTTGTGAAACTGGACAGTGTGTGTGATGTTTCCCATAAGACAGAATCCTTGTCATTCTGTTGTGTATGTGGTGAGAACCGTTCTTGTTTGCTGGTGCAGAACAGTGCTGCACTGCCCGTGCACGTGATTTTATACATGTTTTAAACAAGGTTTGGTTAACATCTCAACTTTTTATATGCTTAGACTGTGACAGGCCTGTCCCATTAAAATCAACTCAGCATCTCGTATTCATTCATTTGTCTAACAGTAGATCAGTACACTTGAAAATGATTACTTTAGTGCAGTTTTTTATGTATTTAAATGTACGTCGGCAATACTGTGATGTCGTATCAGCTCAGCTCCAAATAAATGAGAGAAGACTCCGAGGTGTGTTGTGTGTGAAGTGTCACTAGTGGGCAGTGCCACTCCAGAACCTGTGAGTGCTTTCCTAAATAACAGGTCTCAGGTGAGAACACCTAGGACTGAAGACGGCAGTAAAGTCTGCGGTGCCCTCCGGTTGGGAGGCAGTTAAAGGTCCATGGTTTAAGGTGGAAAATATAAAATTAATTGAATAAAATGAATTGAATCATTAACTGCCTTTAGGTGTGATACTTCAGTAAACTGATATGCTCTCCAACACTGCCATCTATTGCACTACCAGCACAAGAAAAACACATACATTAGTGCTTTTTCACTCTATTTTTAAACTGTTTTTTATACTTGTATCTCATTTTTAACAGCTTCCGTCCGTTCAGAATTTGACCTATTTGGGGCATATCTGCTGCCATCATTACACTGACTCGTCTGTATATTCTCTGAATTTGCGATATTAAAGCCTGTGTTTGTGTGTAAATCTTGTAAATAAGCGTTTGTTTCCGGTAAGCATCTTGAGACACTTTGTAAGCTACAAGCAGTAAAGTAAGTTTAGCATGTCGTACTTTTCATAAACAGGCCGTCCGTGTCACTAAACCAGCGCCGGTGAACAAGTTGACTGTGAGACGTCGGTGATTGTCGACAAAATCCGAAGTTGACGATTTGTACACGAGGGAGGGAGGGGGGGCTGTGTGTGTGTGTGTGTGTGTCTGTGTGTGTGCGCGCGCGCTGAACTGAGCGGAGGTGAAGAAGAGGAGGATGAAGCTGGGAGCGGAGGATGGGAGGAAGAGTGGAGTAAGAGACAGGCTAGCTGTATGTGAATAAGTGAGTGAAGAAGAGGAGAGGAAGGTCGCCAGAGAGAGAAAATAAAAACTTCTATTTTTGGAGATAATTGCCGGAGCGTCGCCAACGGAAACTTTCAACTTTTTACCCGCCACTGCTCTCTTGTTGTACCCAGAGCCGGCTTTGTTTCGCGGCGGGGGTGTTGACGATAAATGAAGGAATAAAATAGACTCCCATCGACCTGTTTCTACCCAAGCGGGGAATACCCTGGGACTGCTTCTGATAAAGGTTACGAGAGAATGGCGGCCAACATGTACCGAGTGGGAGGTAAGGAATGGTTTACATTTTTAAGACACCCCTTCAACGTGATTGTTCGCTTCTACTGGGAGCTGGCTAACTAGCCGCTAGCTGTCTCTGCTGTTAGCAGCTAGCTAACGCTAGCGTACGCTGCGCGACTCCGGGCTTTCATCAAGACAGTCAGATCTGCCGAAACAATGTAGTATGACTTAGCTTACAGACAGACGTAAATAACTTCACATTGATTTGGTTTCCACACAGCTGTAGCCAAGTATAGCTGCTTCTGTGTTCGGACTGTAATAATACCATACATTGATCAGTGTATATTTGTTTTAAAGTTCAACTTTTAGAACCGATCTGTGTTATATCCCAGTTAGTTCACGCCATCATAGTACCGTACCACAGGGCGGCCGTCGCACAGCATGAACCGGTTCTGAAAGTTTGTATTTATACAAATCCATCCAGCCAGCTGGATCCAGGAGATCCAAAGATATGTGTTGGTTATAGATAAGCGAAATAACAGTAAATTGTCCAATTCTCTGACGTGTAGTCTATAGATTTGATAACGTCCTCAAAATGAACACAATGCTAGTTAGCATTAGCTGCTGGCGGTTGAGAAGTAAGCATCTAGCTAAATTTGGTGACGTCTGTGATGGCTTGCTAACACCGCTCTGCTAGCTGTGTCAGGCTGGTAGGTTAATTTCATTATCGCCTCCGCCATATCACTAGATGTGCTAATTCTGGCTGCTAAGTCCTGTTAGCTTGGCGTAGTAGCGGTGCTATCCGAGCTTAGTTAAAATTGTGTTAAGAATTTAGTTTACAGACTGTGAACAGTTATATTGGAACACCTGCAAGTGAACGACTGAATTTGTACCAAGTTGAGTGGTAATAACTCGTTAAGTTCTCGTTTGTTAAAAAATGTTTCATCAGTGCTACATGGCTGCAAAGGAAACTGGTATGTCGGTGGTATTAATCAGGTAATTAGTCATTAATATCATCTTTCGCAGCCCCCCGCGACACCAGTGGCAGGCATTTATAAGACGCAGTTGACTGGAGGTTGCTTTGCAGGCGTCAGAAAAGAAACTAAACTATGGTTCATACAAATCAAGCTGCTGTTCTCTACTGTTAGTTTTCCAGTCGGATCATCAGGACAGTTGATTCTGGGTTTCAGTATTGATTGTGCAACCTTTTCAGTGCTAAGCCTCGGAGACGGTGCTAGCTACGGGTGCCCTGAAAATCTTGAGTGGGGGGAAGGCTAATCGCAGTCTCACGAGTGTGTGGGGTATTTGGGTCATAGCGATTAAACTATGCTCTGCAAAACATGCTGCATATTTCTGCGCTTAATGCTTGAACAGTTAAAGTGTTTTTTGTTTTCCCCCCATTAACTTCTTATCACTAACCCGCACTCCGTGCTCTGTGTGTATGACTGACCTCAGCAGTGCAGTTTCATGGATCCACGTATGTTGCTGCTAAAACACTTGACGTTTCGGCTTTAGGATCCCTGCTATTGTAGCTACTATTTGTGCAGAGGTGTGCAGGGTTTCATTTTTGTTGAGAGCAACATAGCGCTATGTGGAAGGACAGTCAATTTAGAAATATCAGCTAGGAAATTGTAGTCATTTTGTAAGGTGGGTTCCTAGAGAAACCTATTGTTTGGAGCTAATTATTGGAATTTATAGAAGAGATAAAGCATCAGAAGGCAAAGCTTGGCACTAGTCATGCATTAGCTAAAGAGAATTATTGATAAAGGGTTACGGTATATGGAAAATTGTCAGAAAATTCAGTGGTAAATATTGTGAACAAAGATTAAGTTTTCTTTCCTCTGGATAAGAATTTTTTTCTGTTACAATACTGTGTCATACATTTTATATCTTACACATTGAGAAATGTGCTTCCATCACTTTGTGGTTGGACTGTAGAGGGGTTGGAAGAGCTGCTGGACCTGTCCCAGCCACCTTGCTAGACCAAGTTTGTGCAGGGAAATAAAGGCCATAGTGTGATGCCACATAGTGCTACATCAATGAGCCATAAACCCAGGAACAGGATTTTTCATTAGCAAAGACTATTAAATGCATCATTATGTGTATTTTAAATCAATTATAGGGTAAAAATAAACGCCTGTACAGTTGTATTTAAAAACTACAAAGTTCAGTTTTTCATGTCACTGAGGCTTTATAATATTTTGCATCTGGTGAATTGATCGAGCCAGCTGGGGCCTTTGTGTGTGGGTTCTCTCCAGGCACCGAGTTACCCACTCGGTGATTCTAAACTGGCCGTAGCTGTGAATGGTTGTCTGTCTCTGTATTAAGCTGGTTTTATGGTCCCACATGTATCTGTTCACATACACAATCTGGATTGGAATTACTGAATGTTGACAAGTGGAATAGAGAAGGGAGCAAAGTTTACAGGAAACGGGAGAATGGAGTAATAAAAGCACTAACGGTGGTTGCAGTGACACTTTTCATTGTTTTTGTTTCACTTCAGCTTTTTATATGTCAGAACTTTGCTTTCCTCAGCATGTGGCTGAAGGACATGGATTCATGAACAGTGAATAAGGTCGTTGCGTCTCCAGTCATTCAGACTGGAGAAGTGAGGTGGGATGATAACAAAGAGAGGGAAGGTAGTCAGACCTGAGGGAATCAAACTATAAGAAGGCAACATTGCAGACATGGAGGACAGCTACAAGTACCTGGAGATCCCACTGGCAAATTGGAACCATGAAGAGGTCGCTAGGAAAGCTGTAACCACCAAATACCTGCAGAGGGTCAGGAAAGTCCTGAGGAGTCAGCTAAACGGTAAAAACAAGATCTGTGCTACACCCTGCCTGTGATCAGGTACCCTGCTGGGATAATAAGCTGGCCAAAGGAGGAGACAGAAGCCACTGACATCAAGATGAGGAAGCTCCTGACCATGCATGGAGGGTTTCACCCCAAGTCCAGCACTCTGAGACTGCCAAGCGACAGGAAGGAGGTCGGGGACTAATGAGTGTCAGTACCACAGTCCAGGATGAGACAAGAAAACAGTGGTCCCAGTGGTAATTGTAGCACTCAGTGCAGTGACCCCGCAGCTAGGCGAGTGGCTCCAGCGGATCCCAGGAACAACATCTGAGATCTCTGTCCAGAAGAGTGCAGTCCTAGGAACAGCGTAGACACTGCGCAGGACCCTCAAACTCCCAGGGCTCTGTAAGAGGACCCGAGCTTGAAGGAGAGATGATGTGCAGTGAGGTTCAGGGCTGGTGAGGCACTGCCTTCATCAGAATCAGATTTAGAAATATATGAACCCAACAGAATAGATTATTCATCATTTGACAGCAAGGGCTGGCTCAATTCGTGGCACCGGCAGCTAGTATGGGCAACTTCCTGCTTCCACTCCAGTTGTCTGAGGCAGTTACCACTGTCCTGCCACGCAACTGCTGCTCTTATGGCCATTTGATGTTATTTTTATTTTATGAAACAGTTGTCAGTGTTGCTTCAGACTTGTTGGCAGTAGCATTTCGTAACATGAATTTCTTTTTTTTCTTTTTTTTAACATTCATTTAGTTTTCTTCCACCACCACCAGCAGCTGCTGCTGCCTTGAGTTGAGCCAGTCCTCTCTCCCATTTCATCGGCAGCAGTTAATGGGTTATGTTTCATATCTCATATCAGCATTCTTTACACATACTAACTGTACCCCATGTGACAAACATTAAAAAACAAAGTTATTGTGGTCATATTTTTATAAATGGAGTCCCTGCGCTGATCCTTCTGGACAAAAATGTTCGTTCCTTTTGTAGAAGTCCTCCTCGTCTTGTTTCAACTTTAAAAGTCCACCTCAGTGGAGATCACTGCCAGGGAGGAACAGTCCTGCTCCAACTGTACGTCTTATTTCTTTTCAGTGCTGAGACTGACCAGCTGAAGCAACTGTGTTGCCTCAGGAACAGACTGAATGAGATCCTTGTGGGCTAAAAAGTTGAGAAGCCGTCTAGGAGATTTACATTCATTTCTCTTTGTTTGTGAGCTATACAGTCCGATGAGATCCGCCTCAAGTCTCACAAAGTCCAACAGCTTGGCGCATTTTGACAGGCTCTGTAGGTTCACCTTATCAAGATATGATATTTCACCCAATTTTGCGCAATCGACCAAACCAAGGAAATGATCAAAC